AGTTAATATCAAAATTTTCTGAGTGAGACAGCCCAATGAACAAACAAGTATAGTACGATAAGTGAAAATTAATTTTATATAAGCAGCAAAATTCCAAGTGCAAATAAAGTTATCGGAGTGAAACCGCTCAAAGTACCGTCAAAAGATAAATCGATTAAACTGAATTATCGCTCGCTTAGGAAGTTTCCGCTACTTTGTTCTTCCCTTAATACAAGACCAGATAGTGTCTTTGCTCCGTGTCCAAATGGCGTTTAGTAAATAATGTCTGCGCTAATAAAACGGACGTTGACCACGTGAACTTAGGTCAATACGATGTGTGTTCTTTAACGCTCGTAGAAGTGCATGGATCTAAAGCAAAACATAATAAAAAAATATGAAAATCAATACAGCTCGCTGAATAAGCATCTTTATATATTCAGAAGGAGATGGTAGAAGTTGGTAAACTTCTTCTTTCGGTGAATCGAAAACAAAAAAATATTTATGAACGTCGCAAAAAATAAAAGAACAATTCGATTTATTTGTGGAGATTCGTTAATTTTTAATGATGTTCGTTCGTTTCGATGGAAAATTAGCTGTTACGTCGCAATGGACGCGTATTTGATCCTTTGGAAATGGGCTTTGCCATCCGGGATGATAATGGACAGGAACAACGCGACGAATCTCTCGCTGCGAATTCCCGATAAATTGCCAATTTATCTCAATCTATTCGCCCATCATTCCTGTTACAAATTACCCTCAGAAGACATTACAGAAATCAACAATAACAACATTATTAAAAGAAAATATATCCAGGAAATTTGTAATAATTTTTTTTTTGTAATCATTTCGGACTTTTTTCTTCCACCTACTAGAGTTCATTGACCCATATGGCAATGGAGTAATTTAATATTAAATTATTGTTATATAACGTTCCAATATTGTAATTTTTATAATAAAAATATAATTTAACTCTGGTTAGTAGTAGTTTTTAATGGTTTATACGTGTTTGTGTTGTGATTCAATTTATAATACAAATACAAATTTAACATACAAATGTTATTTATTTAGTAAAGTTTAATTTTAACAGTCATACAAAATAAATAATAAATATCTAGAAATATCACCAACAAAGTTTTAGTAAATTAGTTAACAATCTTAAAAACAAGTATAAATTATTATTTCTCTACTTGTCATTGATGTTAATGAGATTACGTAATTATGATTTTAGATTGCATTGAGTTAAAAATGTAATAATTTTGTTATCTAAACTACATGTGTATGTCTCAAAAGTATGTTAATATATTCAGTCTTCGCAAACACCACTGTAAAATAATCGTATAGTTAATAAGACTCTTTAACTATATATTTTAGTTAATTTCTTTGTTATTTAGTTATATTTGATTAAATTAATTGGCATAAATTGTCATCGATATTTATTTGAATATTTTCTATTTGCACCATATTATTCTACTTCAAATATACGATTTTTCTATAAAGTTTGTCTACAACAATAAAATATGATGAAAGTTCCTGGATCTGATTTGAAGAAATACTAGAATCCAATAAGAGATATAGGATATAATCCGTGGGACCGTGCATCTCTCTAAGTGATGTAGGGTCGATAAGGTTCGTAAAGAATAAAAAAAATTGCAACCCTTTCATGACATATTCATTATGAGAAAAGGGCTTCTGTCCTCAAGTTATCCTTTAATGCAAAATGATACAACGGTATGATAAAATGAAATACCTGAGATGAATAACTTGAAACTAAGTTGACTGGTTGTTACTTGAAAACTCTTATTTCTTTCAAAAAATTATTATTTCTATTTCAGTTTTGCATTATTTATATATATTCATGATAGACAACCTAATAAAACCACAATTGGCATAGAAAATGTTGATTTTTATTTATATTTCTAAACTTTAAAATTTAATTCGAAATAATATGTATTTATGTAAATATTTAAGAAGTGTTGGACAAAAAACAATATATTTTATTTTAGATCTATTCCAATATGTAATCACATTAATGATGAACAAAAAGTGTTAGTTGGTGCCCCAAATTAGAATTCACAATATGTCTTTTGCCCATTCCATATTTATGCCCGGGGCTTCAAAATCCTAAAAACGGCAATGCTAGTAAGCATGCATGACTTTAAACATAAATGACAGTCAGGTGTAACAATTATTATTGGTACATCTGATTGATATGGTTACCATAAAGTCCAATGATAAACTTATATAATGTTGTACGGTAAATATCTTTAAAAAAATAATCAGAGAGAAAGCCATTTCATGCAACTAAATGTGAAGAAAATGGTAGTTACCTTTCCCAGCTGAGTCTGCGAATGACGCTGGTTTCATCTATTGCGACGTTCGATTTCGAACTCTGGTTGAGCAGTTTGGATAGACGATTGAAAGCGTTGCTTCCGGTATTCGGGCTTGACATCTTGTAGTGCTTGGCTGCAATGACGTGTGGGGCTGGCACTCTGCGAAAGGGCGGTTGGGAACGGCCGTCGAGGGACGGAACAGAACAGAGCCAGGAACGTTTCAACACAAATTTGATTACGTAGGCGCGAAGTGATTTTACCTGAGCAGTAGAGTGCTTTCCGAGGCGCCCTTTTCCGGTACGTAATTCGCACCAACACATAGTCGTGATATGGCTGATTTCCGCCGGACGTCGAGGGCGGCGGCGCTGTCATCTCTGCTGAAGGACACACGGGAAGCATGGAACCTCGAGGCAAGGCTACTCTTGGAGCAGCTACCCACCATCGGACTAATTTTCGGAATATCTACAATCAAATCGTCTTTGAAAGATTTTTTTTTTGTTCTTTTTAAAATATGTCTTATACTTAATACTATTATAAATATATGTCAAGTTTTAATGGTTTCTGGTTTATATTCATATTTTTGATATGTTTTCTATGTTGTATTCTAATTGACATGACAAACATCAAAGTTCATATTCATTTTAATTATATTATTATTATAACTATTGCACTTGAGACAAAAACTTAGATTTATAAGAAATATAATGCATATTTGAAAGAAAATACTTATGGTTTTTCTTTTATAATGATGATATAATTACGTTTTAATTTCTTAATTATATTTTTCATATTGTTTCATTAAATATTGTTGTTTTTCTAATTTTGTGTGTATTTACTAAATTGTATATTGGAAAAATATTTTTTTAAGAGATATTACGTCTTATATTTAAGAATGTGTTGGATAGTTACATAGACTCATCATATGCAGACGAGCGGCGAATATATTCGCCATATCCTTTACACAGAACACTTTGCTTATGAAATATTGTAGTGTGCATTTATCAAATTTTACTTCAACCGTAGCTCTTAGTGAGGTGCCATTAGTTTTATATACATCAGCAATACATGTATTTTTTTTATTATATCATTATTTATCTATTTTTTTGTATGGTTATAGTGAAAATATATTATGAAATGCGGCATTTAATATAAAAGTAATATAATAAGTTGACGGTATGAATCTTTGTTTTTGATGAACCTTTGACGTTATTTCTGTAGAGACGCAATTCATTTTACAAAAATTCACCACAATGTTATAATACTCAGCAGTTTCGAAAAACTAGTTAAAAAATCTCCGTCAAAAAGGGCTAAATATGGTGGATCCTCAGTTATTGATCGTCTCGATTTCAGTTCCCAAATAAAAACTTATTGATTTTCGAATATAAATTCGGTAAGCCAAACTGATTATTAGGTTTTTCTTTTTAGGAATAAATTATATTCAACAGAGTATATCATTTATATTTTACTGAAATAGTAAAATAAAGTGCAAGGAACTGATGATACAAAACATATTTTTTTAGTGTAATATATCTTAACACTAAACATATCTACAAGTGGTTTAAGTGCATTTAAAACGCCTTTATAAGGAACCATGAATAAGTTTATCAAATATTTTATTATTTCATTTACTTTTCAATAATAGTTTATATACAAACGTAAATATCATATTTAACACTAGATTTAGGGAATTTGTTTCATTTCTAGAATATATTATAAATTTACTGAAAAAAGACAAAATGTATTAAGTCAATAATTTAATAAATACTACGTACTAATTGATTTCTTGTATATTGCATAAATATAAAATAATTGATACGATTTAGTAAATTGAAACTCAATCAAAATATTTTATAATTTAGTTTACATTTTATTGGCTTGCTTTAATTCATTTTATTTGAATTTTTGTTGATTTTTTTAACTAACAAAGATTTATTTGCTTATTATTTATTGTCATTACATCGTGAAATATATCTTTACATTAACATGAAATAAAATCCGTTTGTCGTATGTATTATGTGAATGTGTGTAGGTAGAATGCAATTATACTAAATCTCATTCAAGTACTATACTCGTTACACGTTGCTTAACTTTCGTATGATTTTATCGCCACTTAAAATGAATTACCTATTAATTTCACATAAAAATGCCAAAGGAAATTCAAATGATTAAGTGCCTAATAAATCTGTGGGTAATTAAAGAACACGTCAGATGAAAAAAAAGTGATGCACATTTCAGTAATCCGATTTGTTATGCAACAAGAAACATGATTTAATAACGAATATCGCGCGGCATACACGTTACATGGGATGCAGAATTGCATTTAATAAAGCGGCCAGGATTGACAATTTCCGCAAAGTCGCAAGTATAATGAAAACCGGAAGCGACTTTAAATCCTGCGGAAGCGACTAATGAAGGTACGAGCAAACGAAGCACGTTCTTCGTCCCAAGCCCGGTCGAATTACCTGGTTGTTTCAAATTGCCGAGCTGTGCCTGCAGGATGCTCACGCCCGGAACGACAATGGCTGGAAGTGTCCTGGATCTTAACAAAGGCGGCGGTGCCTTCTTCCCTCCAGTCCTGCTGGCGCTCTCCAATCCCGCGCAGGAAGCTCTCTGGTCAATCCTAGTAGCCGCAAGTTGAGCACTGCAACGAAAGAAGAATACATACAAAAAAACCGTTACCAAAGCTTTATCACAAAATTCTGAATAATCGCAATTGTGCAACGTATCCTTGAGTTCCAATTTCTTTACGAAACAATATTTATCTACGTGCTCCTTATCGATTTATCAAGCCGCAAGATAAAAATACTGGTGTATTTGATACAATTTGCACGTTCAGTTGGAACTACGCGCGCACTGAATTACGTATACGCAGTATTGCATATTAAGTTTCTGCTGTTTGATCGACTGTCCAGATGGAGAAGGAAGTCGGTAATTTGGCGGAGACCTTCGCGAAGATCCAAGCGGGGATCTCGCATTTTCAGGACAGCGTTACCAACATGAATCTCAATCCGACCTTGAAGCAGGTCCACAAGATGGAGTACCATTACAAGCAGATCTTGAATAAGCTGGAGCAAGTTCAGTACCACATGGAGCAGATCGAAGAGTGCTGCAAGATTATGGGGAACGTTGATAAGGATGGGCAATTCATCCGCGGGGATATTGTTAGGGAACGAGTGAGGATGTTGAACTGTCTTAGCCCATCCTTCCTCGAGCCCAATCTTCGGGAGTTCAGACAGGCGGAAAGTGTCTTCCACAAAACCAAGAGGAAATCGCGGTCGGAAAATAATTTGGTATCGACTGGGGATAGGATGTGCGTGGATATTGATATAGATGGTATTGGAAAACAGATGCAAGCGCAGTCCCAGATGATCTTTAACTATAACCAGGATGATTTACCCAAGGTCGTCGATTGCTTGGTAAAACACGACGATAAGACTGAATATAGTTGACTTTAATCTCGTTTTGCTTGCAGATGAAGTCCCAAAAATAATCTAATCTTATAATTGTATTGTTCAATTAAAATGTTAGGTATATAAATTGTGATACTGCACCAATTACCTTATACTTTTACTAATTATAACTAATATTATAATAAAGAGTTTTCATCAAAGTAATTAATATTTTATTAATTAAAACCTCAATTTTAATCAAATTTCTTATTAAAAATATTAAATCTTATTAATCCTTAGGTATGAAATATAGTTATTTCTTTGACAGTTTGATCACTCTCTTCTTATCTAATTGTTAATTAGTTAATGTCAAAAATATTTTCGATAACTTATTATTTACAACAATTATATTAATTAATTTGTTTGTCTTTTTACTTATTTCATCATATTTTTATTACAGGAAATTTAATAAAATATCTCGTACTAATCGAGAACCTATTAAGATATTAATATTATTGTTATCTCTCTCAGTAATAATAGTAAATTTATAATTTAACAACATACAATGGATAATTGATGTTTCAAATATAACGAACGAAAAATATTGACAACTGAGTTAAAAATACTATTTTAATTAATAAAAGATAATAATTGATGAACTCCTAAACAATTCAATTGAATCAAGTACTAAACATATTATCTTCAACATAAAATTCTATTTTTAATCTATTTCTAACGTTATAGATCAATACTATTGTTTTAGCAAATTTGTAAAATATGCTCTTTAAAAACATTACGAGAACAATAGAAATAAGATAGTGTCAATATTGAACCAATAATTTGATGACAAATTATTGTTATATATTATTATCATACTGATAATAGTATATATAGCAATAGCAATACGAATTCGTTCGTTAAATAGTCATTCGAATATCTTCATAAAATACAAATATTTAATACATAAAAGTATTAAGATTAACTCTTTTCACATTATATTACTAGTTAATCAATATTTATATGTACTGCAATTAACAGTTAACAATTCATTTAGTAAGTAAGTATTACATCATAAGTTTTTTTTTTCAAATTTTATATTTTCATAATATTTTAAGTCTTTCTATTACTTCAACACAAATAGTTGTCAAAACTTTTATAATAGAGTTTTATAACCAACACTATACTTTCTCATTAATGTTCAAAATATTGGTTAATGTAATATTTATGTCAAAACATATTTTAATAGTATTAAATAGTCAATAACTTAATTTTTGTATGTTTCAGTGTTCAAATAAGTATTATTTTTGTAATTAAAATATTAAATACCTATAATTATATATTGGGTAAAGTATTAATCGCTGCAAACTTTTTCTTAATTATAGTAAGATGTCATATATAGAATACTAAAAAAACATTTATATTAAAATAAACTCCTTTATTTTAATATATATTTAATTAGTATTGTCATAACAACAACAACAGAAACAACATTAAAATTAATGACGTTTTGTCTTCTACAAATAAATACCAATTAAGTGTAATCTCGCATAGACCGTATTGCATTCGGTAATTGCTTCGAGTACGGACATACAAATATATATATATATATATATATATAATATTCGTTCGGATCAGTTGTGATGTGTATTGCACGATGAATAGAGAGATGTGTGTTTTGGGTAGATAAGACTCCCTTTTATCAAAGCCCAAATTATCATAAAGCATACACCGCCGGAGATAAGAAGTTACGCTTCAGCGAGAGAGCCTAGTTACGAAAGTGTTGCTGTCACAATTGCTATGCCATTTCTAACCTGAAACTGAATGTAAGTAAATCGTAGAAGCGGCGACAGACGGGACAAAAACAAACAGTTTTGCAGTGATTTCAGATGGGCGGCAAATCGTCGAAATCGAATCTGAGTCGGACGGATTCGATGCGCAAGTCTTCGGTGAAGAATATGGTGCAGGAGATGAAACGGAAATGGGAGAAAGTCGGTGACGAATTGTGGGGGTTGCCCGAAGTGAACGAGTCGCATGAGGTGTACGTGGAGCTGAAGGAGAAGATAACAGAGTTGAGGAGCGAGCTGGAAGGTTTGAGTGATGATATCAAGAAAAAGGATACCGCTTTGGTGGATTACTACATGGATAGGTATCATGCATACATGTGCGTACTTGAAAAGAAGACCGTGCTTCCGCAGAAGGTGGTCAATTGCGGAAAGGCTGTGTCCACGCCAGAGTTGAGGGAATCGCTGGAGAGCAATACGAATTCTCTTAAGAAAAAGACGAAGAAGAGCAGGACGCAGCAGCGCGAAAGGCGTGTCACTAAAGAAGAGAAGAACATGAACGAGATCGACAGAATCCGACAGGAGATGATGCCGATGCGCGATGAAATATTGGTGTTTAAGGGGCAGAAGAACGACCGTGTTTACCATTTCTTGGAGGAGAGCTTCTTAAGGTTTGCGAGCAAATTGGAAGGTATTGAGACGTTCGATTTTCCGCAGTTGAAGCACGAGAAGAAGATCGCTATTACGTATGCCAAAGAATCAGTGGAGGTGCTCCAACAGATCGTGGACAGAAAGGAGAGGGCGACTCAAGAAGAAGAAGAAGAGGTTCCGGTAGTAAAATTCAAAGAGTTCCGAGCGCAGCTGGAGAACAAGTTATCGGTGCATCCTAGTGTACGTAGCACGATGGGAATGGTGAAGTTGAAGAGCTACTCTGATGAAGTTGAATGTCTACAAGTAACCAAAAGCATCGAAAGTTTGGACGAAGAGTATGCCAGCAGCAGTTCCATGAGTTGCTCTTCGGATAACTACGAAGAACGTCAGGAGGTGCGACGCGATGTATTTAACATAAACACGTTGAAAGTAACCTCAATTTGATGACTGATAATTTATGTGCGTGCGCTTGCATGCATGCACGTATGTAAACTTTATAATAATATTTCCCGACTTGTAAATAAATTGAATAAATATATATGAAGAATGCGAGAGAGGTTTTGTAGGGCGTTAGCTGGTAATTAAATATCAGATAAATGCTGCGACAGATATAGATAAGATAACGACTTGTTGATATTATTTTCCACCTCGTTTCTCGATCAGGCACAAGCGAAACTAATTCTATTTGTGAATTTCCTCCCAATCCATGTACATACCTGTTCTGTTTTAAGCCCGTAAAGTGATTCAACCTCACCCACTTGTGATGCGGGATTATCGTGATAACGTTTCCATCAAATTATAGTAAGTAAAACGAACATGTAATTATTCTATTGAGATTCACATTTAAAGTTCTACATTTCGTCCTATAGTGATTGCTAATTGTTAAGTAAAAACAAAAAATGGGATCGTCCTCGTCGAAGGCTTCGGATCCTTTTCCGAAGAAAGAAAAACTCGAGAAATTGGATGATGTTCGGAAATCGGTGCGTGCTTTGCACCGCGAGCTCAATGAAGATAATATGCGTCATGGGAATGACGTATATTTCTCGCTCCTCACCAAACATTCGAAGAGCGTGCAAAATATTCGAGCATCCATGAAGAGCAAAAAGTCAAATCCGAAATGCAAGGAAGTTCTGGACGAGATCAACGATTGCATCGCAATCCTAGAGACGAAGCATAATAACAGGGAGAGCAATTTGGATTTTGGTACAGTTGAATCCAACTCGTTCATATCCCAAGACCTGGACAGGTTTCCAATTGTGCCCGAAACTGAACCTGAGGAACCAAAATTTGAGTACAGGACACGGCTGCACACCATGCCAGAAATCGAGCGCAAAATCAACAGTTTAGATATAGAAATTCGCAGGACCGTGGATTTAAACGATTTCAAAAACTATCCGCTTTTGGAGAAGAAGGTAAAAATGTTGTACGACGATTTGGAACTTGTGAATCCATTACCGCACACTCCTCTCCACGAGAAGAAGGAAAAACTTGCTGATAAACTAATCAAATTTAGAAAGAAAATTACGGTGATGCAAAGGAGATCCATGGATCTAAATTTTCAGTTGAAGCCGTTCCAAACAGACGATTTGATGACGCTTATTAAAATCGAACAGGATTTGAGCGATTTAGAGGTAAGGGCGTTAACTTTCGAAGACACCAAGGAAAATAGGTCGTATCATGAATTATCAGATAATTTGCGTCAAAACTTTGCCACTTTAAGCAAGCTCACTATTACGAATGATGAGGGTAAGAAGAGAATTTCCAATGCGCAAAGTTTAGTTAAAAAGATAATTCACGAATTGGAGAAGAAGGTCAAGGAAAACGAACCTATTTTGAAGAAGGAAATGGCGCAGCTAACGGCAATAGAGAATGATATTCGCTCTTATAAAGAGCAAGCGGAAGCTTGCCAAGGGAATAAAGACAGCACATTTTATTTAACTCTAGATCAGAAATTGAAGGCTTCCAAGGAAAAGCTTGATCAAATGAAAGGATCTTCTAGCTTTAGCAGAAACACGCGTGAGCATCTGCTCAACGAGATTCAGAGCATCATGAATGGTTTACACGAAAAGATAACTAATACGAAACCTACTTCACCTCTTGTGGATAGATTGGAGAGTTTCAACGTTTCTTGGATGAACATTGAGCGTATGATAAAAAATGAACAAGGCGTTAATAATAAAGAAGCTCTGAATATATTGCGGAACATACAAATTTCAATGGCAAATGCGTTAGATGCTCGGAGAAGCTCTCGCATTTACTCTAATCAAGTCATGTATCAGTTGGTCAAAGAAATATCAGATGATAATAAGAAGGTTGATCAGGTTGATTTAAGGAAGACCCCGTCTATAGCGAATTCTGTGATGAGAATTCAACTTATCGATAGGGGCATTAACGAACTGAGAGACAAGTTACGTAATTTCACTGGAACTTCGGATAGTGAAACGTATGATCATTTCGAGAGCCAACTGCTTCAATATAAGAGCGATTTGGATGCGGTGGATATAACGAAAAGTGGTACTTTGCATAAATCCAAGATCAAAGCTATGAAGGATCTGCATGAGGTCACGCAGTTCCTCCAAGAGAAGGCCGAGAAAAATGATGATGATCGAGGAAAGAGTGCCAGGGTTTCCATCAGGAACAGCAGAAGTCAATCTTGCAGTGCTGCGCTTGAGAAGATCTTCACAGTGGAGTCGAGCGCGAGGAGCTTTATTCCCAGGATTGAGAATTACAAAGGTACACGCGAAGAAGCGGAGTTCGAGGAGATCCAGCAAAAGTTGAATGAGTTCATTAATTTGCTTGTAACGTTAGATGTGGGTCGTCACGAAAATCTGCACACTTCGAAGATGGAAACGCTTCAGTTGATTAATAAATTGCAGACTAATTTGTGCGAAGTAGCTGATAAGAATGATATGATGCGAACTGAAGAGTTGAGAAGGATTAAGGAGCTTTTGAAGAGGGTTCATGCGGTCAAAAAGAAAATCGATTGCTTCACCGGAACGTACAAAAATATACAGTACGTTCAGATGGAGGATGAATTAAAGTATTGCAAGGTAAAGTTGGACGAGACGCAGAGCACCTTCAAGAAGGTTTTGGATGCAAAAGAGAAAGGTTCGGAAAGTATTGATAGGCTTTTGAATATTCTCGAGGAAAGATCGATTAAAGCAGACCCCCCAGCAAATTCGCAACAGCTAATTGAAAAGGCGAGGAACAAATTGTTGGAGGTAAAAGCGCAAATGGAGAACTTCAACGGAAAGCACAAAGACGAAGAGTATTATAGGATTATAAACAGACTGCACGCTTGCAATGATGAGGTGAACGCGATCACAATGGACAGGAGACAGTCCATAAATGCTTCTAAGCTTCAGTATTTGCAGTACATTCAAGACTTACTTAAGTATTTCGAGGAGAAGGTGCAGAGTAAGGAGTACGTAGAGATAACGGAAAATTTAGTTGAAGTTGAAAACCAATCAAAAGTTAACAAGGCTATCCTAGAATTAGAACAGATAGAGCACAGCGTTACCAACTTGAAGGAAGACGTGGACAACTTTATTGGTAGCAAGAATGACAACAACTACAACACGTTGGATCTAGAAATCAACACTTTGATGACCCGCGTGGATAAGTTGAACAGCATGAAACATAAGAATATATCTCTGAAGAGGAAGAAGTTGTTGAAATCGTTGAACGACGTTTCTAATAATTTAAAGGATAAATCATCTAAGGAATTCGAACCCGCTAACGTAACAATCCAGGGTAGAATCTTAGATAGTATTGATCAGATTTGCAAAGAGTTGGACAGTTTGGACAAGGAAATAGATAACTTTTACGGATCCAAGAACGATGCAATACACACGAGGCTGGATGAAATGCTCATAAAGCTGTTTTTGAAGTTGGACAATATTGAAAACGCCGGTGATCAGCAGATAAAGACGGCCAAGCAGAAGGCGATGAAGCAGATCCAGAAGAGCATGAGCACACTCGATCAAAGGGTCAAGAATTTGATGGGAACTGAGGTGTAATTTGTATTTCACTAACATTTATAAAACTTTTACTTATGAAATAGTAAAATTTATTAAATTAACAGTTGTTTATCATTTAATTATCCTTTAATATATCTAATTTTACCAAACAATTAATAATGAATTTAAGTATATAGACTTTTTATAAATTAGCAGGTTATTTTAAGTTTTATATAAAAACTATTAAATAAAATTAATCCTTAAATTTAATTTTATAAACTTACTTCTATTACCATTATGTAGTATTCCAATTTAACCCAAATAACGTCAAACTTTTAATGACATTGTTATGTTGTCAATAAAACTTCTATATTTACTAAATACTTTTACTAATCCTTTGTAGCTATTGTTTGCAATTTCTAGTAGTTTGTACATTTACTAGGAATAGTAAATATTAAATATTTTATATTCAGTTGATAATTTTACTGTAATCCTAGGTAAATATATAAATTTACTACTTTTAAAGGTTTTTTTTTTACTGTTACATATTAAATACGATTGCAGTATTTATTCATTAAGTAAATTTCCAAAAGCACTTTCAGATTAAATTAAATTAAATAAGAGATTTCATTCTGAAAATACGGTATTTAATAATAATTCAATTAGTTGAGCAAAATTTCTACAAAAAAGTTTCAGATTCTATTGAATAAAAGTATGTGTTACTTAATCTCAAATAGATTCTATAAATACTACTTCAATATTTTATAATGTATACACTTAAGCTATAATTTCCCAAATGCAATGTTTGTTTTAAATATATGGAAACACGTGTCAAAAGAGCGGTCTTTACTTTGCAAGTCGTCGGACTACAAAGTTTTTTTTTATCGTTTCCACATCACGACAGAGTAAACTTTCCACTCTCTGCAAGTGTGGCTCTTCTAGCTTGGAAGGTTGCCTTTTCAACATGTTTACGCATAATGTACGACCTCAAACGCGAATTTTCCCTTATGAATATTGAAAAGGCTAAAATTAATATCGCATGTGTCTCCCGTGATTAGCTCACGGTTCATTTGCCACAAGAACCGGGAGCCTCGAAAAACCCTTCTGCTGTGTTATTACGCCGTTCCACATCACCCCCGCAGATTTTTTTATTTACTTATATATTTTTTTTTACTCAGTACTTCTCCTTTTACCTCAAGACTTTCTACGGATTGAGTAATGAACGGAAGGAGCACGAGGAGCGGCACAAAAAAGGGATTTGTAATGAGAAGGGCCTTAAGGGGAGTGATAGAGCGAGAAAGACTGATAGGGACAAAAAAAACTCTATTAAAAAGCCTCAAAGAGGTGCGAAAATTCCTCTGCGAACACTTTTCATTACATCCTTTTCATCTCTCAGTTAAATGATAGAAGGTGCATTAATTAATACATTTTTTTTATTCAAAGCAAAAATGGTTAATTTCGGATGTTTTCAAGGAAATGCTGGAAAATGCTTTGAAGTAAAAGCAATTACATTTAGTATGTATCTTTAAATGGAATTACCGCTATTCAATGATAATTTTTTCAAAGTAAAAAATGGCTCATTTTTGAAGTTTTCAAGGAAATACTGCTATGATGATGACGGAAACTTTGAAGTAAAATTATTGATCGAAGTATCTGCGTTATCGAGTATTTAGCAATTACATTTAGTGTGTGTGCTCAGTGACGAAACTAAAGATAAATTAAATAGAAATGAGTCGCATGTGATAATGGGTTCCGGAGGAACAATAGCGAAGGCTTAAATTTGCACTACGAAAGTTGCAAAGTCGACAGTAATCAGTGTATTATATCTATATAAATATACAAGTTGTTCACATTCCGCTCGCGTCTGCTGTAATCTTATCGTATTTTCGAATTTGATAACAACATGCGGAGAGATGAGGTCAAACATTATTAAAATACAATGAACAGGTTTGCGCGCAAATTAGTTTGAACTGAGTGGTGTTTGTGGTTCGGTGCAATTATGGGGCTAAAGCCGTCGAAGATAAATAAGCATATCCACAGCAAAGAGGATGTAGATCGGCCGATCGTGTATTATTTCAATAACATCGAAGATCCTATGATCAATGAGCGAGTGCGGAGGAAATACCGTAGAATTCAAGCATCTATTGATAATTTGAAGGTGTTTGGAAGAGCGCCTTATAGAAGTATGAAGAGATGGAATTCCACTGGAGATTTGGCATTTAATAGAGGCAATAACAGTGAGAGGTACAAGAAAGCCAGCAAGAGTATGAATAATTTGGTCGAGGATAAAGGACCGTCGTCTGAAGATCAGTTGAATGTTTTGGTGCAGAAGCTGAAGGAGATCAGGAGAAGGATTAAACACTACGATGGAAAAGAAAGCACCGCTGAAATTAAAATGGAGTTAGATAAGTGCTTATCTGATCTAAATACTATTGACTCTAACAATAAGATGGTGTTAGAGTTGAGATCTAAAATGGGCGAGAAAATCAATTATTACCAAGAATCCATCAAGCAGAAAAGCCAAAAGTACACGACTAATCAAACGAAAGTGGAAGAAATCGAAGCAAAAATTGAGGAACTTACAGGCGATATTGAGTATTATTATCGGACTGGTGAACAAGAGGAATATCAAACTATTAAATTCAGTATAGATTCGTGCGTTAAGCTGTTGGATAGTCTCGACGCAACCGACGATGTAAACATGATGAAGCTTAAAGAGAATTACGAGAAAACGCTCTTCGATTACGACCATGAAATCGATAACATAAATTCCAAGGCTGTAGACAAAACCATAGGTAACAATCGCACCAATTCCGTGGATACCGATGATGAATTCTACGACTGCTTCGAGGAAATCCCAATTACGCCAAAATCAGTTAAAAGCGAAGTGGAACGTAAAGATGATTTCGAGTATTACTCCAAAAAACTGGATCAGGTGGAGCAGAATTTTGAAAAATTAATAAGCGAGAAGAATACTTGTATAGATGAAGAAGAACCTCCGGAAAGTCCACGCAGAAATAAACTTACTGAAGCAAGGAACAAGTCTGCGTTTGTGCCTAAGAAGAACAGTGAGTTTAAAGATGAAAATGATTACGAAATAATAGATATTCCAAAACTAATTAAGAATGAATTACCTTTAAAACCTCAAACAAGTATGAAAGTTGAAGAGGAACCACCAAAATTGCGACCAAAGTTTAAGGAACAACAACCAAAAAAAATATATGCAGAAGCTTTGGTTAATTGTGATGAAATCTATCAATTAAAACCGGAAGGAAATGCACAGAAAACTGTTTATGAAAATGTAGTTAAAAGTAAATTCGAAGATGATGAAGAATGTATTTACGAGACGATAGACGAGGCGAAAGCTTTACTTGACGAGATGAATTTCAAAGAAGAGTGCGAATATGCGACTGTCCCTGCTATCGATGATTCACAAATTTACGCTGTATCAATAAAAAACAAGAATACAATTTTGAATGATGGAGACGAACCACCAAAGCTGCGACCTAAGTTTAAAGATGAACAAGCGAAGAAAACTGATGAAGAAGTGAATGCTGATGAAATATATCAAATAAATGAAAATGTTGCTACAAGTAAATTGGGAAACGATGAAGGAAATATATACGAGACGTTGGATGTGGCAAAAGCTTTGGTCGATGAGAATAATTTCCAAGACGAGTACGAATATGCGACCGTTCCTTTTATCGATGATTCACAAATGTATGCGGTATCAATTAAAAATAAGAAAAGTGAACCTTTAAAACCTCAAATTAGTTTGAATGTTGAAGAAGAACCGCCGAAACTACGACCTAAATTTAAAGATGAACAAGCGAAGAAAACAGATGAAGAAATGAATGCTGATGAAATATATCAAATAAATGAAAAAGTTGCTAGAAGTAAATTGGGAAACAACGAAGAAAATATGTACGAGACGTTGGATGTGCCAAAAGCTTTGGTTGATGAGAAGAATTTCCAAGACGAGTACGAATATACGACCGTTCCTTTTATCGATGATTCACAAATATATGCGGTATCAATTAAAAACAAGAAAAGTGAACCTTTAAAAGAAGAACCGCCGAAACTACGACCTAGGTTTAAAGAAGAACAACCTAAAAAAACAGATAGAGAAGCTTTGGTTAATGACGATGAAATATATCAAATTAATGAAAATGCGGTTAAAACTAATTTGGGAAATGATGAAGATTATATATACGATTATATAAATGAGGAAAAGGCTTTAATTGATGAGAAAAATTACAAGGATGAATGTATATATGAGCCAATTCCTGTGATTAATCATGAAATACAGAAAACCGTTATGGAAGTAAATTCTAATACTAAAAAAGAAATGCGACCTAAGCTACAAGTAGAACAATCAGATGAGAACTATCAATATGAAGATTTCGCAGAAGCAAATGATGAAAATAAAGAAAAACATATGGGAAATATTCAAAACATAGAAGAACAAAGATCTCAAGAAGTTGAACCAAAACCTCGGCCCAGGACAGTAAATGAAGCTATTTATGGTAATATTATTAAAGATAATACTCATAATAACGGGAAGGGAAATTTTGTTTTGGAAAAAGAGGATTCACCGGAATATATTGAAGTTCAAGAAAAAGCCCATGAGATTAACAAAAAAATTGTTAAAGAATATGCATTTGCATACTATTCAGTTAAGAACGATGAGAATGGAGGTAAATTTACAGAAGTAGAAGAAGGTATTGCAAAAGCAACAGTGGACAATTTAGAATCCGACAGATATTCTTCTCAAACAGAGTTTGTGCCTGAAGATTTTGAAAAGATAGAACTAGAAGAAAATATTGAAAAGAAATTTCAACAAAAATATGGAGAAGCTGATAGTTCTGAAAAAGTTGTGATAACTAAAAATGATAACGAATTTTGTGATGTTTTGTTGCGCAAAAAAACAAATGTTAATGAGAATTACGAGAATGCTGAAGTTGTTTTAACTACAAATGATGATGCTAATATTTATGAAAATTATGATAATGATGGTAAAACAGATCTGGATGTGAATAAAACTGAGAAGAAACGGATGAAGCTTGCGGATATCTCGGAATCCACTGCTTTTTCACAGACATTCAGTGATGAGGAAGCGGAGGATTTCACCGAGGACGAACCTCTCGAATCGTCAGATGCAATTAGTGACGAGAATAGACGTGTGTCCCACATTCCGAAATTGTTGTCCGTGATCTACGAAGAGTCGTCCTTCGACGAGGAATCTATTAGGACGAAGGAGGATTCTCCGGAGGAATGCATTCCGTCGAGTGAATCGCCGTCAATGTCGCGCAGATTTTCAGTGAATCCGATGCCAGATAGCACACGGATTGCCTTCGATTCCGTGCTGGAATGCGTCCAGAATATGAAAGAGTGTGTGGATGACTTCGAAGGCACGAAAACCGACGGCGATTATATAAATATCTTCGAGAACTTGATGAAGAGCATGAGCATCCTCAACAGCTTCAAGGTCGACGATAACGAGACCATCGAGTATAAGCAGCGCATCTTGCACGAGATCATACAATGCATGAAGGACCTCGAATGCAAGGTCAAACCATCATTTACTTATTAACATCCAAGTGATCACTCAATTATCTGCATAGCAATATTTATCCAAGCACGTCTCATATACTGAACTAAAAACGTAAAGTGCATTTCAACTTGAAATTAATTTATTAAATGTGTATTATATATTTATGTATCTAAATAAAAATTATTTATTTAAAAATTCTATTGTTTCATTCTTAATTTTAATTGTATGTTGATCATTACTCAGGCAGATTTCCAGTACAGATATAAGCTAAGGATTAGTGTAGAATAATTTAGAAATATGTTTTTATTTTAAATTTAACCAAGGATTATTTATTGATTTATAAATATGAAAAGTAGATTACAAATCAATTCAATCATTCTTGCATATTTTTTATAATAAATTATTTTCCTTTGATATTTTATGTTTGTTCGATTAAATTTTCAAGTTTAATTTAGATTATAAAGGAGAAATACCTCGGACAAAAGCTCTTTGATCCACATGGACTAACAAATATATTTTAAATTAATTTATATATCTACAAATAATCCATCCATCAATAACATGATATTATAAATTGTAATAAATTAAATAATACTTATAGCTTATATCGACGGAAAAACTGCTGTAATGGCACTTTGCACGCATGTAACAATGAATTATGTTTATTATTATATAGTTTTAGAACAATTCAGTTAGTTAATAATTTCGTTTAGTAATATGTAAAATGAATCTTAGAATTTGAAAATTATTATATATTATATGTTTTATATGTTAATTTTGTAGGAAAATGTACTATTACATAAAGATTGGTTTACCGTTAGAAATTTATTCGCAGAAGCCGCTGATTAATCAGTATGTATAAGGGGAATTCAATATAATCTCCTAATTTTTATAACTTTCTTATCAATTAAACTATGTAAATATTTTATCAGTTGCATTTACATCAATATGAGTGAAATAAAACTTCGATTTTTTTTTTTTAATTTTCTCAAATTATTAACATTATATTTTTCAAATTATGTATGAAATATTCAAGCATAATTACATTTGTTACAATTTTTCTAAAATGGTGTAGATTAATTTAGAATAGTGTTCGACAATCAAGGTTTCACAGTACATGGAGAATCATCATTTTGTTGTGTCCAGCCATTATTATTGTAATTGTTGTTATTAGCATAGTGTATTAACGAACTAGAGACATCCAAGGCGTCTCTTAGTCGCATTATTATATAAACATAAAAATAAAGGAATCTCTACCGTGATTCCGGTTCGATACACTTTAATATAAACAAAGGGGACCAAGCGTAAACATTCCCATCGATACTCCTATATCTTTATACTGAATTCAAGTCTTTATTATAAACACATAAAGATCTTACATGTATAATTGTAATCGATCATCTTTTTCCTATAAACAAATGCATAGGAATTTGTCCCGGTCTAATAAACAAAACCACCGAGGCCGATTCCCGTGGGAACGTTTAGTCATCAATACAATCAAACCCTACTCCCGATCACAATTCCCACCCCGTATTAATAAGAATTAGCTTTGTAAGTAGAATAAGTATTTAGAATTAGTCTCAGTAAAACGTTAGTATGATGAGCATAGTCTCAGTAAAACATTTAAAGTCTCAGATGAATCTTAAATCGACCCAGTAACGAATAAAGTTATGTAAAACCAAACGAATTTCATTAAATTCCCAACTCCACAACGACAACACCAGACAATATTCCACTGTGTCCAGAATTCCATTCCTGGGACACGACAATTTAATACAATAACAACAATCTTTACTTTTATTATTTTAATCTTAAGACATTTTAAAATTGTTTCTGTGTTGGTAATTATTATTTATATCAGAATTTAATCAAGTTTTTTATATAAACAAGTCTTGAAAAGCTTACAGTATACTTTTTTTTAAATTGAAATTATTAGATTATAATTTTGTAATTTATGAATTACAATTATTAGAAACTCATTCAATATATAACTATTATATATAATTAATAAAAGAAAACCTGGAATTCGTTCGATTTTATATAATTCATATTTCTATTTATGATTTGTTAATTATGATGCAAATTTTAAATTAGAGAAAATAATTGCAATTTCATAATTAAAGTGCAGTTCATTGTTAAACTCGATCATTGTTCTCTTTTCGTTTGAACCAATTTCAATACAACCTTTACATGATTCATTATAATTCCAACATCGGTCCAACTATGCTTTAAGCACGCTTTACCAAATACAATTCAAGTGTTGTACTCGTTCAGTATTGTTCGCTTTTCAGTGGACCAAATTCCGCTGTTAAACAATATGGTTGTTAGTTGGTAACAATCGATGTTAGGAACATTGGAACTAATTGAAAAATACTTGAAAATATTAATGTTATTGGCAGAAAGACCTATAGCTCTTTATTTGTTTGTTACAATAATTTTAATGATTATTAAAGCAACTTTTTCATTGTGAAAATTTAGAAGTTTTTGCAGCTTTTAACATCAAAATGTATGCAATATTTTCATTGGTATAAGTCCTAATTACCCCAATAATTTTATTACCCGGTTCTCCAGGTTATTATAGTAAACGTCAAAATGACATAACGTAAATCAGTTTTTCCTATATATTTTCATCGAACAGCTGATTGTTAACTCTAATTCCGTAATTAGTTTTTCGCAGAAGACATTAAGTTCTGTAACTTCAATTGGGTAATAAACCCATTTGACAGTATACCTATCTGGAAAATATAATCAAATATAATATGAGAGAGTAAATTTGACCATAGTTGTATATTCATATCCATATAACAAAAAGCTATAGTTTTATGTTCATTTAATGAATTGGATGAAAATGTCAAGGTTTAAATATTTTATCTCGAAATGCGAATAAAACTCAATACAATTATCATATGAAGTTGTGACAAAACATAAAGATGAGGATTGTAGAGAAATTTATGCAACGGACAGATATGTCACGTTACAGGAATTACATCTTTTGCATAGGTGTAATTAAAAGTTGTGTTTGTCAGTTTTGTGGGTAATGTTAATATTAAGACCGAAGCATGCCTTTGAAGCTCCCATTTAGAACGTTGTAATCCTCTTTTGTACAGAGAACAATGGAGACTAAGTTTATAATTATTATACAGGGCGATTCGAAAAGATGTGCATACTGTATTTCTTAAAAACAATAAATTAAATTAAATGTACTCCTTACTATTCTTGAATCTATATATTATAGAGGAAACTTGATTCTCAAACGAATCGGTTGCAAATAGAAACGTAATAATTGAATTTGATCCCAAATTCTGTTCGAAAACTAGAATAGAATTTTAGATAAAATTCAATAATCTTTTCTAGTTATTATAAACAGATTATTTGTAAAGAATAAAGCAGTAAGCTTAAAACAAATAAAAACGCAGTTCATTTAATGTAACGTATGTTAAATGATATTAAATTGCATAACTTTTGTTCCAAAATATTTTTTTAAAAGTGATATTGTCAGGATTGGAAATTAAATAAACAAACAATGGAACAAACAACAGAAAATATATTTTTAATATGTTTTCGGTTTGAATACTATACACGATATTAATTAACCACATTCGGTATGTGCTTTATTTGCTTTCATCGGATTTGCGCGTTATTAAAATTAAACGTGAATTGTGTGTTTCAAGTAGATTTTTTTTTATTATTTATATACAATTTTTACAATATTTTTTATTATTTCCTTATGTGTATGCCCCTCAGGTTCGGTTCTTTCGGTACTCTTCTTGGAACCGGTATTTTGAGCGGGTTTACCATGTTCTATATCTTCGTTCCGCGACCACGCATCCGACACATCATTTTTGTTTTAAACTTCTTCATGTCATTTTCTCTTCTTATTTCCTCTGGAACCGTGTTGTATTGTGCTACGCCCTGCATTTCCATGTGATTATCGACATCTTTGTAAGTTAAATATCAATATAATCTAAATACAGCAATATTTCGTATAATACGGTCTCGATCAGTCCTGATTCAATACAGTCAGGTTTGAAGATTTCAAAACAAAGTTTTAATTTTGTAACCCTTTGAGGACCAGTAATTACCAGCACTAACTATTTACTAAAAATCTATTCTATATTTGCCTACGGGCTTTCTTAAAGAACCAGAGTATTTACTAGTTTGCCTATGTCGTAATGACGTCACGTCGATCATCTCGCATGGCCACTGACAGAGGTGAGGTTACCGGTAAAATTACTTGTCTGAACACGTTTTTTCGTTAAAAATATTACAACAATGGCATGTAATATTAGCTCTAATTATACAATTAATTATTAGGTTGAATTTCATTTTATAACGTAGAAATCTAGCTTTTTTTTAGGGTTTAAAAATAAAATGAGCATAATTTATTCAGAAAAAATGCAGCAAGACGAGTTTGAAATATTGCTAGATGATATTCCCAGTGACGTCGAATCGGAAAATTCTGATATAAGTAATGTAATGGAGGATGAAATCGATTTGGCTACACCTATTATTTCGAACAGATTTTCGACATCGAAAATATGGAAAAAAGAACATCAGAATGTTACAAGGACAAATCAATTTTTAGAGAAGACAGTCCCAAATGTTCCACAATACTTGGAAACTCCAACCGACTTGTTTTTGCACTTATTTGCAGAAGACCTCATACAAGATATTGTTTTCCAATATGTATTATCTTCCTAGTGGTTAGTATAGGTAACCATATCCTGCAGTATAAACGTTATTTTTTTTTGTTTAAAATTTGAATAATCTTCCTGTATTTGTAATAATAAACATATACATACCAACAAAAAAAATTCTGTCCTAACAGGGTTAATAAAGAAATTAGTACACTGAATTATTTTTATATACATAAATGATCGATTTTTTCCTTTATCCACTACTATAGTCAAGTTTCCATTAGTCCGGTATCAGAACGTCCTGGATATTGGCGAGGAATTTCCGTAATTTTTCAAAAAAAAAAATGAGTTAATAATTATATTAAAGTATAGAAACATTAATATTATTTATTGGCTAGACTT